GTATGCTCTTCCTATGTCTTCTGTCCTCTGTCTGTTACGAGGTCGAATAAATTCTTCTGCCATCCACAATTTGACCAATTCATTCTTTTCATAAACATGAGCTTTCGGAAACAGGGAACAGTACACAAAGCACTGCTTGTGATCAGTCGAAGGCAGATGGTTATAACTCAATCTAAGAACTGGCAGTATCTTATTCTCTTTTACTTCCAATGCTTCACTTCTCATGATATGTTTCCACTCATCCACAGTTTTCCCACGTAGCAGACCTCCCATTTGTTTTACTGCCAAAGGCAAACCACTGCATTTTCTTACAATTTCTTTTCCATATACGTTTAACTCTTCAACATCACTATGTGCAAAACTACCCTCTTTAAATGCAATCTCTGCGAACAATGACCACGATTCATTATCATCCAAACATTGCAAATAATAAGGGGCTTTTGAACCCTTAATATTTGCAACATCTGAAATCCGACTAGTCACCAGAACCTTACTTCCCTTGCCCCCTAGATTTAAGACATCCAATAGTGGCTGCAATTCCACATGATTATTCTTCCATAAATCATCTAGGACAAGTATAAAGCGTTTTCGGGTCAGGATGTCTCGAACACGGGTTTGTAGTTTGGCGTAGGAGAAGTTGTTGACATCATGGTCAATATTTTGTTCAGACATGTAAGAAACCACTATTTCTCTGAAAATGCTCTCCATGACAAAGTTGTTTGTTACACAAACCCAAGTTTTAATCTCAAAATAATTTTTAACCTTCTCATCTTGATAGATAAGTTGGGCAAGAGTTGTTTTACCTAATCCTCCCATCCCTACAATGGGAACAAAAGAAATATTGCCCCCATCACTGGCTTCTTCATCTGGTATTAGCAGTTCTATAATCTTTTTTTTATCCTCTTCCCTGCTAACAACTAGATTGTTTGAAAGAGAACCAGTTTGTTGTGGTTGTAAACTACTTTGACTTCTAGACGTAGGGTTCCCAATGATGGTTTTATAGCACTGTCCATTTTGTAACAGCTCACTTATTTCTGCTTTAATTTCTCTCAACTTGCGCAATTGGCGCCGCTGAAATAAAAAGTTGGAAGTGTTGAATGGGAGATGGAGTTTTCGTACCTGCTTCTTCATCTTCCACTGGTGATATTCTGTTGCCCAACAGGCGATCAAATCCACTGCATCATAAGCTACAGCTTGAAGCTTTACGAGCCAATTCTTCATGTCGGTAGAATTAGAAGAAATGAGTTGAGTAAGCAACTGTTGAATGTCTGTTAACATGCTCTCTAGCTTTTTTATGTCATCCTTGACATGAATGAATGCAAAAAATTCCGCTGTAGCAAGAGAAGACAATTTTTCCAGTGCAATGCTCACTACGGGACTTACAAGGGTTGTGATAACTGTTTCAGCCATGTTGCTTGCTAGCTTGCTATTTGCTTCCAAAGTAGAAAACCCAGAGCAACAA